TCTGATGATAACGTCCACCCCACCTGAAAACTGATACTGGTAGGCAGCAAGTGTGGGACTTTCCTCAAACTGCAGCGCTCCAATTTCAACAGCTTGCACCATAACATAAATCATTTCAACCCTACAGCTACGGTTCCTAGATCTAAACGTAAAAACTCAAAGCATAATGAAAACTCGTGCACAAATAGAAAATAAATGCAGTTGTGGCTCTAACCACCACATTCATAGTAAAAGATGATGATGTTGTATGTGAAACCCTCCTACACAAAGGAAATTATCTTGTCACAAGATAAGCAGTTTACGTGAAGCGTTAACTGGTATAGAGATTGCAAGCATCCCAGCGGGATGTCAAAACTTCCACTCAATATTTTTTTTAAGAAGTGGTTCGCTGATGAAATCTTAAAGCATTGAGAAGTTTGGTTTATTCAACCATCGACATGGTTGTTGATAATGTGAGCATTAAACCCATTCAAAAAATGTTTCTATAGTTACTACATCCTCATGAATTCATCCAGCATGAATTAGGCAGTCAGGCTTGCATATGTCTATGTGGCATGTTTTGTTTTGTTTTTTTGTTTTTTTGTTTAAAAAAAACATGCCATGTACATAAAGTTGTATTAAATTGTATTTTTACATTTACAAAAAAAAAAAACCCTTAATATGTCCCCTGTTGAATCTGGGTGACTCACTGTAATTAAAATGTGTTCATGTCAGTTAGATTTGAATTATATGTTGCTTCAACTCACTAAAATGTAAAATTTGATTTTTGAACAACTTCTGCTGAGTTTCATAAATCTGAATTTCACAGTTGAGCATACTCAGCATTGTACAATACATACCGTACATACTTTGTTACTGACATGACACTTTCAGTTCGCAACACTTCCAAGAGTGTTTACTGTCATTCCTTTCAGCACATTGTCAGCATTAACCTCCGGTGACGGATTTTTTTTTTCTTTGTGTCCTTGTTATTGGCCACTATGTACAAGAATAAATCAGTTAACATAACTTCTAAGACAGCTCCCTGAAATGGGGAATCCCAGCTTGTGTACAGCTCATTTGCTCTGAACCAGTTTGCTTTTTTCAGAAGCTTTGAACAACAGATGAAAAGATGTAACTAACCTTAAGAGTTTCAAAATACGATCCAGAGATTGTCTTGTACATCTATAGTGACAATTTAGTCTCAAGTAATTGTTTAATTGTTCACCAAACAAGCATCCTCTCCTGAATTATTTTCTGTGTCTCTGTCCCTGCTTTGGAACACATTATCATTATGTCGTCTGAAGTACATGTGAAAGGTTATTTGCCATGGCATTCCTCTGTCTAGTTTCACCCTAAGAGTCAGACAGGTGTTCTCATTGGACATGAAAGCCTCTGGTGATGCATGTCAGACTTGATCACCCATGATGATGGCTGGAGGTTAGGAAACTGTGTCTGTTCCCCTGTCATGGGAAGTCTTCTGAGTTTCAGCACTTTTATAACAGTTTTGAACAAAGATTTAGAAACTGAATGGTTTCTAAACTCTCCCTTTTCGGTCTCTTTTAAATCATTTGTTTAACCTCCGATTTACCCGGTTCATTTTTGCTCACACTCTCTCTGTCTTTGTATGTGTGTGTGTGTGTGTGTGTGTGTGTGTGGGTGTGTGAGAGAGAGTGACAGAAAAAGAGAAAGATAGCGAGAGACAGAGAGAAGGGGGCGACTATTTCTAAAATGCTCGATTCTTTTTCTCTGCAGTCATTTATTTGAACCTACATGTTGACCCTTGTGTCATTCATGTCATCGTCCCACAGGTTCTGGAGTTTATTTGTACCAATGTGCAATGTTTATAGAACATGGAATAAATGAGAGTACTCATTATGATATAATTCTAGAGTGTATTGCAAAACAAATGTTATATTGCTGATGTTATGTTTTAACAAAACTGGTATATTTTGTCCTTTACTCCCATATCTTCAGGCCAATAGAAATTGATATGATTGAAACTCAGCAGGTCACATATATCTGCAGTATTTAGGTTAACAACAATCAATTAATGTAATAAAAATGATTTCAACTTTATCTAACAGTGCAACATAATCCATGCTTAATTGGTCTTAGGTCTTATCTTTATAATTGCCTAATATCGTTGTCTAATCTTTCTTTTTTTCTCTCAATGGCCTAGCCATATTTTTCAGGGAATGAAAATACAGTCCAACAACTAGGCATGACGTTCTGTGGGGGCTGGGTGTGGGGTGGGTGGGGAGGAATGGGCAGTGGGTGTCTTGGCTACCAATAAAAAGGCTCCTTTGGCGCCAAGGGGGCTGATCATAACCAAGCTCTTCTACTTCAGCTCCCCAAATCACATCCCATCATGTTTGTTTTGGACCACTACTGTCATAATTTCTTTGTGGTAAGTTCAGATCGACTGCAGATAATTCAAGAAGATTTATAGCCACTGAAATTTGGGAGTAAATATTATAAAGCAAAATATAAGCCACATAGGACTCTTCCATGGGATGTACTCAGCATGGAAAGCAAACAGAGAGAAACAGCCTGGTTGATGGTGACTGGCTGTACAGGATGAGATGGGCTCTGAGGTTTGATGGGGCAGAAGAAGGCTCATGTAGACGGCTGGCTGCTCCTTTTGACGGCGTGTCATGGTTGGCTCGCAAGCTGCTCTGCCTCGTCTGGATGATGTAGTCATCATTGTGGCAGGCCTGTCAGAACAAACTGGTATGCTGGAGACAAATACAGCTTTAGTGGCTGGATGGAGAGTATACAACACATGCACCACCCTACTATTGAATATGTTCCCCAAACTGGCAAGCTGGTGGCAAGTTAATGACAGGAACGACCAGTGACATCACATAAAAACATGATTATGTTCCACTAAAGAGATCTTAGTGAGTCCATAGATCAAACAGACAGGGTGATGACTTAAAGCACTAATACGCTGGCTACTGGCATTACTTTAAGCAGGGGACTTGGCAACAAAATAAAAGTTTGCCTCTCTAATTTCAATGTTAAATGTTACCACAAAAGGGGCACAGAATAAATAAACCTTACTCGGAGCCACTCACACACAGAAATAAGCTGAGATGGATGACTGAAGGCTCAGGCATTGCCAAGGAGGAGTTCCATCACCAGTGCAGTGTTATATTTGTGATGTATTCAGATAACTTAACAGTCACAGTGGGAGAATAATGTGTGATCATTAGCAAAGGGTTTGCAAATTATTTATGTAATGTAAACCATGATAATTTACTAACACTTTTTTCCCCCCGCACTGCCATTAACAAGTAACTTGGAAACCAATAAATGTCGCAGACGCTTTCACTTAATTAAAACAATAGATATCATATTGCAAGGTAAGATGTCAGTCATACCACAGTCTCCTGCACATGGCAATTTACTGCTAACACATTATGAGGGAGGGTGACACAAATAATAGCTATTAAACTGTCAGCTAGTGCGGGCTGGATCACATTACTGAAATTAGCCTAAGATGCTCTATTATAAACAATGCCACCCTCTCTTAACACATGAATGCATACTACAGATAAGCTCACACGCATGCACTCACACTATACTGTGGAGAAAATAGCATAAAATGACTGACGTAAGCATTGGACAAAAACTCAGAGATTCCACAGGACACCAGGTCCGGTATTTGATTGATGATGTGATATCCTCTCATGTTATTTGGATAGGTATAACAACAGTGTTCCAATTCATACAACTTTACGTGCCATTCCCAGTGTAGGGAAGTACAGACATACTATAGCTCATATAGTAAACTATCAGCTGAGGCAGTGTCACTGAATTAATAAAAACAATATCAACCTTGAGAAATCCCTATAGCTCAAAATGTGAAAACTGAATACAATTCTTTTTTTTCTATCTGAATCCTCTGTGCTGCACCTCACTGAGTCAACGTGAAGTTTCAGCGCTGCCAAGTTTGCCACAATGCAGCATGCACAGGCAACACTGACATCTGCTGGTTTAAAAAAAAGCTCAAATAAAAACAAAAAAACTTTATTTCAACATTTTCTAAGCATGAATGCTAAAAAGCTTTATGTCATAAACATTAGATACCTAATATGCATCATTATGAAAAAAAAAGTTTCTTTATCACTTTAACTTTAAATCTGCAATACCTGCTTTCTGAGTCCTAACTCCTGCATCCCTCTAATTTCCATTTAACATGGATCAATTGAGTGGTGTTACACTCTTGTCAGCAGGATTAATTTATTTATGAACCTGTCATTTATAATCATTGATCAGGGTGTTCTCTGTTAGAGAACTAATGATATGCAAAGGTAAAAGATTCACTAATTATTGTGTTTGGTCTAATTGAGGCTGTGTGCTTCTGCAGGAAGGTTAAGAGAGAAAATGACTGCTGCCCTGACTGCCAGCTCCAGAAATGCTGGCAGAATCCTAGTGAATTCCCTAGCTCTGCAACCGTGTGCAAACACACCAACACTGAGTCAGTTATTAAGACTTTATTTGGAACTCTGACCAGCACTGTCACTTTCTAGGTCTCATTTAGAAAAAAGACAGAATTAGATGAATTTAGGCAGTTACTCATCACCTGTGAGCTGCTATATCACCACAGCCTTAGTTTGGTTGAACCTACAGATGAAGGCATAAATGTTGTTTAGTTGTATAGCCATAGATGCATTCAATTCAATTTTATTGCATCAAAGTCAAACATTGTTAGCATCTTGATCTTCAAGATTAATAGACAATGGATTTCCCTTTTCCTAAGGTATTATTACAATAGTTTTGGGATGGGTGGTTCGTGAATCGGGGCGGGTCAGAAATAGTTGCCATGGAAACTTTACAGAGTTTCCATTTTATTTTATTCTGACTTTACAATAAAGCCACAGAACATTTTTCTGCAGATAACAGTTACTTCACAATGACTGCATATATTTACCCCTATATATGCTTTAGAGGATGCTTTAGAAAAAATATTTTAACTGTGTGAAAACTATACAACTACTCCAATATAGAGAACATTAGTTCTTTGATGAATTTATTAAATCGTCAACAAAATCAAAACATGCACTATTGCACCATTATCAGCTCCATTAAAACAAATATTCAGACTTTCTCCTGATATCAATTCCTTGTTTCTTATTAAAGTTTGACTGTTACTGGGCAGTCTTTAGTCTCTTTAAGTCTTTAAGTATCAGATGGCATCACAAATTATTGGAAACTAGTGTTATGGATCATTTTTTTAAATTAAATATAATACAATTTTTAATTACTGCAAATGAGGACAAAATTGGGTTCTAGGTTCCCATAAACTAACAAGCCTTATTTCAAGCTGCAAAAAAATGTTTAATCAGATTTATACAGAAGCCTTAAAGGTAACTTTAAACATTTTGAAGGTAGCTGATCCATTATTACACTGTACAAAAATCCACATGTGCAACAAGAAAAGGTCATCATTATTCTTACTAAGTCTAAAGAAGTCTACATACAAAATAGTTGATAAAATGCTTAAAAGCAAAATTGTAAGCCTTGGAATTCCACTGTATAAGGAATGCAGAGTAGCTTTATTAAAACAATTCAAACACTGTCATTAATCATCACCTTCTTAAGATGAATATTATCTAATTAGATAAACATTAACAACAATTAACAATTGCTAAATACTGCATCACAGCCCTTTCAGCAAATCACAAAGCAGATGCATCATGGGTAAATGTCTGCATTAGAATTTCCGCTGGATTTATGAAGTCATTTAGATATATGTGGGGTGGGCAGCATGGCGTTCCGTGCTTTATTTTAATTATTGTTTGGGGCCATTAGTTTGAGCTTTGATCCCCACTTGTTCCTCCCTCTCAGCCTGTCTGTCCAACCTGGGGCTGAGGCCCCTTTGTGCTGAAGATGGCAGGCGAGAAACTCCGTTTACTGTTAGTGCTCCACTGTCTATCGGGCAGATATAGTCCGCAGATTCATCAGGCTTCCTTTTTCTGAGGTGACTGAATTGAGTGAAGCCCAGCTTCTTCGGCTAAAAACACACAAAAGGCCAATGTATTAACAAATAATGTTGATTATAGGCTGCATGGTATTTCACTGATTTAAATAGTGCTCTTACCTTTACTTTTGCGGTTGTAGTGAGGGGCACATGGCCCGTAGCATTGCCATATTCTCGTTTCTCCTGCATGGCCTGAAGCCCGACCAGAGCAGAAAATGCAGTTGCGAGATGACGACGGAGCAAAGTCTTTTGCGGAGGAATATTTAAAAGCAGGGCCAAAGTCTCTGAGCTGAAGCGAGGCTCCAGAATCTATGTTTGCCAAAGATAAAGGCAACATAATGAACTCTCTGCTCCCATCTAGTATAAGCACATACAACTGGTACGATCGCAAAGAAACGAATCACAAATTTACATGACTTACAATCAGTCCACCGTGAACACCGCTGCCCCGTAGATTAGGAGCATACTCAGCTAGGTCAACTGCTCTCAGCCACTCCATCACACAATGGTTAGACCACTGCACTACTTCTGAAGGAGGAGGATGTTTCTAAAAGCAAAATTAAAAGAGAAATTTAAAAAAACCCACCTTCTATTATACATGTACGTGTGTAAAACTCATTCTAAGCACATTAAAGAAATACATAAACAAATAGTCTTGAAGGCTTTTGAAAGCAGATATAAAATTAGATGCTTTATCTTGACAAATATTTGACAACTAATTGTCGCCATCTTGTGTGAAATGGATGCGATTACATCAGCCAGAGCATCACCTCCTAAATGTCTATAGAAGCTTGTTATATCTGAGCTTCAGCTGTTAAGATTTACAATTTTTTTGCAAAGAATACTGGATAACATGAAAAAGTAGAGTAATTGTTACATAAGCTCAGGTGACAAAGGAAAGTAAAAAAAAAACAAACAAACAACATAATGTGTTGATTCTACAGCACTCAGAAACTCTATTTGAGGGACACAGCTTTCAAAAGTCCTACCTCCTCCACTGGCCTACGTCGAAGACAGTTTGGGTTGAATTTATTGGCATGAAGCACATGAATTGCGCACTTAATACTAAGATGGTGGAGTTGGCTGGTAACCTTTAGAGTCAAGAGATCATTCTGTCCGAACAGGAAAACAAAAAAGACATATAAGCATGAGCACAGTAGAAAATCTGTCAATTCATTATAATGCACTTTTTAGGGTTTTAAGTTATATTTTAAAGCCAGATGAATGCATTTGCAGGCCACAAATTACAGAAAATCTAAAGCAGTATGTGTAAGATTAATCCTTACCACTGTGAGATATTGTATCATCCGACCATCTATTCGAGCTTCATGGAACTGGTCTTTATACTGTGGCAATCCAATATCATCCAGCCAGCCTGAATTGGTGTGTAAAATTCAAAAAAAGAATCCGTCAACTTCATTCATTCACTTTAATGTTTCTTCACATGTTTAAAGCATGTCCACTGGAACTGCTTAGTTAGAAGACATTTAAGAGTTTAGAGGGAAGGTTAAAATTGCATTTACAGTTACAGTTGTTTTTGTTTTCTTTGGTTTAATATTCTTGTTGGTATGGCATTTGTAGATCTGATTTACATGTGAACACATAAGCCTGAGAATTTGAAATAATTCCACACAAATAGGCTTACGGGTGACCCAGATGTAGTCCAGCTCTGAGGACTTCTCTATAGCTTTAGTGGTGAATGCGCGCAGAGCGAGCTGCAACTTCTTTCTGTGCAGTGGATTCTTCATACCCATCTCCTGAGGTTACAAAGAACAGTTTGTCTTATCACACAAATACTGAGGTATTTTCATTTTCTCTACACGTGCAATTCTGATGAAGTCTAATATTTAGACATAAAAATGAATTTTAATTTATGATATAGAGTGTAACTTATTTCAAAATTTGAGATTTGGTTTTTTATGTAAATAGCTTGTAAGGGATTTATATTCCGACCTTCTCAAAATCCTGAGGTGTGGCAGACAGAAGTGTTTGTCCATTTTCAACCCACTGTCTGGAGAGACTAACGTACTGGCCCAATCCATAGTCCTCTAGCCAGCCACACACCTGCTCCTTGGTCCACTGGCTGAATGGAATATTCATATCACTGATAGGAAAGAAGTTTTAAAAATGAACGTTAAAAATTGTTATTTTATTAGCAGAAGTTTTTTTTAATTGCCATATTTTCAAGTATTTATGGTAATTTTGTTAAACAACAAATTAGCCAATAGTCGTGTTTCATTGTAGCCATTTGGGAAATGGTGATGAAGAGGATGTGGCATGAAAACCACAGCAGAATATTTTAAAACAGCAAATTACAAGGGTCAATTCAGAGATACATAACCCTTAAAATATTGTATTACAAGATCAGATAGCGTTTTACCGTGCTGAGTCAAATGATTCAGGGGTTCGGGTCAGTCTGGGACCAGCAGTCGCACGCAGTCCCCCTCTTCTAAATTGCCCAGAATCTGGATCTGTAGCGGGAAGGCCTCCAGACTGTGTTCTTCTAAGTCTGTGTGGAGAAGAGAAAATTATGTGACTGGAAACACTGCCAGTTATTAATTCTCAAAGTAATGTTTTTAAAATATACAGTTATGTTGAAAAGAAAGCTTTCAAGGTACTCTATGCAGTCCTATGAAAGAGTAAGTACACCTCAACTGCTTCCATAGAAACCAGTAACAGTAACCATAGGGCCAGTAACAGCCAGATGCTGTTTATCAAATGGACTGGACTAGCTGCTCATAATAAAGTGTGAGCACCTCTGTAAAAGGGAAAAGTTTAGGTAGTTTGCTGGTCTACAGCAGTCAAGTGCATTGATCACAAAATGATTTAACTCCTCTGTACTGTAGGTATTCTACAGACAAATGTAATGTCATCTGTCTGAGACCTAAAGCTAAACCAAAAGTGAGTCATGCAACAGGACAATCACCCAACCACAGCAGCAAATTTCCAACAAAATGGCTGGAAAAAGAACAATAAATCAAGTTGCTGCAGTGGCCCAGCCAAAGTGCAGACCTTAACCTGACTAAAATACTGTGGTAAGACCTTTAGAGAGCTGTGCCCACAGGACTCAATGAACTAAAGCAACATTGTAAAGAAGAAGTGCCAAAATTCCTCAACAACAATGTGAAGTTATTGTTTCTTGTTTCAAATAATATACCAAATCACAGGGTGTACTTAGTTTCACAGGACTGCAAGAGTTTGATAAATCTTTTTTATGTGACTGGAAACAGTTATCATGTATTTTTTTTTAATCCAAAAAAGAAAACAGAATATATTGTAAATTTAATTTATCAATTCAGTAACACCTTTTTCCAGTAACAGCTAAAAAAAGTCTAAAAGTAAAGAAATAAGGCAGAGTGCATACAAGTATTTTTTATAAATATATATGTACATTTAAGACATTCATCCTATAAACCATTGGGTACATGCCATGTTCACATAATTTAATGTGTTAATCAATCAATCATAAATGTCCAAATCAATCAAACTTTTTTGCATTTCTTAGTTGTTGGTTTTTTTCCAGCTATCTGGCAGTAATTTAGGTTAATGCACTGTGTATTTGATGTATTTATGTATGCTCCCAAACTCACTTTCCCCAGAGTCTCTTGAAGCTCCTGTTATTCTTCATGTATTCTGGTGAGCCCACAGCTCGCTGGCCAGAATGAACAGGGGAAGTGTCACTTGAGGTGCTGTCATCACCTTTCTCTGGCTTTCCTTTGGGAGGATACAAAAACCACAGTAAATGTTATGTAAATTACAAAGTAAAAATATGATCCAAAGTGTCTTCTACATGGCCAGTTAAACCATAAAAAAATTAAAGATGCATTTGAAAATTTGAGTTTATTCCGATAATATAAGCAGACAAAGCTCCACTGTAGTCCTGCCAAATAAATCACATTTGATTGATTGCCTCTATGGATGATTAAGCTGTTTCCTGTAATTTTGGCACGATCAGCGTTGAACTCCTGATGATGATGGTGGTGACTGAGTAAAAACCCATAAAAAGCTTTTTGTTTTTTTCCTACATTTTCATAGCAAAGAGGACATTAAGAGCAAAGTGGTGCATGCAGGGTGGCCGGCTGCTACACAGTGCTCTATTCAGTAGAGAGACTCAGGATACAGGCCATTGAGTTCAGCAAATAATTCATCAGTTAATGCCCCATGAAAAAGAAAGGGATTAGAGGCAAAATTTTACAAGGTCTGATCTTTATGGTAGAGGTAGAGGCTACAGACAGTCATCTCACTCCTGCAGACTGCAGCAAAGAGAAATCAGGGTGGGGCTCAAGTTAAAATTGGTCAGTCATGCTGTGGATGGGTGGAGCTGGGATGAATGTGGTCAATCAGAGCAAGAGAGAGGGCGTGCTCAGTATGAAAGTCTATACCATGATCCATCTGCTCTGTCAGGAGGCTCTGCAATTAGCTATGATCAAAAGTAGCCTGGTCGACATAAAGTGGTTTCCTCCAAATATGAATGCCGCCTTTACTCATGGGAATTACAAGGCTATCGCCTTCTCCATAGAAATGGAGAACGGATTCTGCAGTACACCAAGGTTCATTACAGAACACCAGCCATTATATAATAAATAACCATAAGCAGCAGTCAGGAAAACTTGATTTAATATGCTGGGATTTACTTTGGCTTGAGTCTCCGTCTTCACTCCCAGCTGGAGACCTTTGACTCTGTATTTCACTGCTGCTGTCTCCGATCCCATTTTGTTCTGACAGAGAGGAATTCACAGGCAGCGTGTGACTTCTCATTTCACTCGGGCCAGTCTGGATGAACAGAGTAGATACAAACAGAAAAGACAGTGACTTTTCTAAATGATAAAAGAAATCTGTGAATATAAATATAAATACATCTGTAAATGTATAGTTAATTGTGATTCTCTTATGCGTTCATCAGATACAGTATAGCAGATCTTAAACTATAAAAGAACTAAGCAGGGAAGCATTGTGAGCTAAAACATTGTTCATATGAATTGTATCACATTTTAAGAAATATACCTTTTGCGCACTTCCATTTGTTATGTCATTCATGCTGCTTGATAAAGTCTGTACTTCTGATCTGTGAAAACAATCACAATCGATAAATTCAGTCCTCCTAAGAAATATTGGAATGACCCTTTAATGAAAAGCTGCTGCACTACCTGGAATCGCTGTCTTTCTGGACTGATGAAATCGATGTCTGCTGGGATGCAGAACTGTTTGTCGAAGCCTGCGGTTAATAAACATTTTAATATACAATTAAAATAATTAGGCTGTGCTTATATTGAAATATTTAAGGAACTAATCGATCAGCTCTTTTGAGACCAGCAGATTAATTTATTTTTTTGCACCCACTTCAGACTTCACATCCTCCGATTTTGCACTCGAGGTGTCACCATTCTTCATCAGACCCTGCTCTTCTTCCTCACTGCTACTTGACAGGCTCCTGCCATTCGACAATGTGCGGACAGCAGATGGTGCTACAGTAACAAAGAGAAGGATTTTGTATTCCACTCAAGCAGTAGAATCCATTTCTCTTTAAAACAATAACTCATGATGGGCTTCATCACACTGACGCGTCATAATATAAGCACTGCAAGGGAATGATAAAGCACAGAGTAAGCTAATTACCTTGCCTTGCGTTACTAGAGACCTCTCTGAACTGTCTGCACTGGTTCAGGAGCAGAGTGAGCTCTTCAATACGTCGGTCCTGCAGAAAACAAGGTAACAAGTGTCCAAAGTCCATAAAACACAATTAAGATGATTATTTAAGGTTAGGAAACACCCATATGGACTACCTGCTTCATCCAGTTACTGACCGATATACTGCACAAATGTTTTTCCTCCACCATATGGCCTTTAGATCAAAGTAATGGATAGAGATTGTGGTAACCAGCTGCATGGAGTGTGTGTTTTTTGAAGTGGTGCCCATGCCCGGTTTTGCTATGGTTCTCTTAATGTAGCTCACTCCAAAATTAGGCTTGGCAGAATGAGGCCTGCTTAAGTGTGGCTTTTCCTGAAATGGCCTGCCTTAGGGTGTGGGTACGTGTGTGTCTTCGCTGGTGTGCCACATGTAAGTCAATGTCTGTGGGTCTTTAAAGTCGAAAATACACTTGGAGGGAGAATACAAAAGCCCCTCTGTGCTATAAATGGTTGAAGGGGTGTTGCCTCTTCAAATGACACAGCCCAAAAACTGTTACACTATAAGCTTCGAAGAAGCAGTGATGTTAGCATATCCATATACAGGCCTGTAGGACAGTAAACTGATGACAATACAGATGGTAGCTTTTACTCTATGATCACAGCTGGGAAAGGACAGGTTTACAGGTCACCAGAAACGTACCTTTTCATCATTGGCAGCTGCCAGTGATTTCATACCACTCCTAAGCTTCTGCAGTTCTTGATCTATAAGGAGAAACCCCAACACTGATTATAAATCTGTATAGGCTTCTGCTCGTGTCATATAAATTTTGATATGAATAGATCTTTTTAGTAGCATATAGTTATTTAGAAAACGAGGAAAGGCGCAAAAACATAAATCAAAGATTTATTCATCACGAGAGTTCTCCCAACCATTTATTTTTAAATTCATCGAAGACTTTTTTAGCCATCAATCATAGTTTGAGTCTGTGACCACCTATTGTGAGAATATGATTAATACTGAGTTTTAGTGACATTCAGACTATCATTCATGTTTTTATTTCCTCTTGGATCTTTTTACTGTATTGGTCTTTTAACAGGTTTCAGTCAGAAAGCATTAAATAGACTTCAGATAGTGCAAAATGCAGCAGCCACACCTCTTGCAAGCACCCAGAAAACTGAACATATTGCATAAGTCTTAATGACTCCACACTACTGCCCAGTATTGATTTTAAGATTTTACTTATTAGCTTTAAAGCCCTTCATGGCCTGACCCCAGAATCTATACTCAAATTGCTCTTCCCATGCAGACCGGTACGCAGCCTCAGATACTCAGGCAGAACCTGTTTCCACCACACGCTCAAAGACAAAAAGCTATCAAGCGTGTCTTCTTTTAAATCACTTCTAAAGACTCATTTATAGCGTAAGGCTTTTTCATAAATTTTATCCCTTTCGGGTCCCGTTCAAGAAAGGCATCAAGTGTAAAAACTCTGCCAAATTAAAAACGGCAGAGCCCCCCATTGTGTCACCCACTTGTGAATAATGGAAAAATAAAGTAGCTTCTTCTTAGTAGTTTATATTTTTTGATAATCAGTGGTCAGCTGCATCTTATTCTTTCAACTTCTGTTTTTTTATGTTGCATTTGAAGTTATTTTTTTTTACACTGGAATCACACTATTTCCTATTCTTATTTTTGATGTTGCACATTAATAAGTAAATTGTTATTGATATATTTATTGTTGCTGTTGTTGTTATTATTAGTCACAGACACATCTGGGCACGCAAACACAGGCACTTTTGCTGCAGCGTTTGCAATCATATGCACAAGACTGCTAGTAAGTGACCATGATTGTACCAAGCAAGTAGCCCAGAGAAGCAGTTATCTATGACAGACAAAAATATTATTTCTTCAGGAATCGATAAAGACAACAAAGAAGTGAAAGGGAGGAGAGATGCATCAAGTTATTGAGGAAACAAGCTGATGATTGTCAAAACTCCCCCTCAGAGCAGAAGGAAATGAAAGATAATGAAACAGAGAAGCATGTCTGAAGAAGGGAAATAAATGAGAGATCAAAAGTAGACATGGCCAGTGGGTTTAGAACAATTTTCATTATGTACTGCTCAGGCTTACATTTGGTGTTTAGTCTCTTCCTGTACAACTCCTCTGAGAGAGAGAGAGACAGAAACTCATAAGACAGTTTACTTAGGGCTGAGACTGGCTTTTTCCATAGTTGTTACTTTAACTGAAAGTGCAAACAAGAGTCATTAACTGTGTCACCTATCAAGTTGGGTAACTTTGAGTGAGACGCTGTTGTTGGCAGGTCGGCTGAGGGCTTGAGGCTGGCAGCTTTGCTTACCTCTCTCTGTGCTCTCTGTGGTTAAAGAGGGTCTGGCCAGCAGCTGAGAGTGCAAGCTCTCAATCTCAGCGTTCTTACTGTGCAGGAGCTGCTGAAGGCTGCTGATCTCTGCCTGTGGGTAACACACAGTGAGAAATAAATGCCAGCAGATGACGTGTACTGTATGTGCTCTTTAAAGATTAACACCTAAAAACATTTCCACATTCATAAAAATAAGATGTATGCATTTCAAGTTTAAGTGTCAGCACATGTCCTCGAGTGAAGCCCAAAACTTTTTTCCAGCATTGCTTATATATGAAAACCCACAAGAAGGCACGTAAATATCACTTCTCTGATGTTTAGAGTACCAAATGTTAGGTCATTGCTATCTGGAGTTTATAGGTTGTTTTGAAGCAAGTTACAGAAGGAACACACAGATGGCAATGAAATTGACTCAAGCTGATCTGTTTGCCTGTGTTTTCTATCAGCATGCGTGTGGAAGCAAATGAGCAGTGGAAAATAAACTTCATATCTCAAATACTGATCAGGACATTTGGCCCTGATGCTAGTAACCAAAGATTCCACCTGAGAACTGCAAGGAAAAATGTGTCTATAAAATGTAGCATTTATTCATTATGCTATTCGGCAGGTTGCAATATGTTGTTGAATATGAGTATATTAAATTATAATAATTATTGTCAGCCTCCCTTGAGAAATAAATACCCTAAAGCCAGTCAAGGTGTAACTGTACAGCTTGCCAATTACCATTTGCAGCAGCTTGTCTGTTGTGAACGAATAGATCTATAAGGGAATTAGCAGACGTGCCCTTTGAAACCAGATTTGCAAGGAGAGCAAACAAGTTGACACCATAACAAGGCATATTTAGCATTTAGACGTGTATAGTTATTGTACCACAAACATAGCAAAAAAAACCACAGGGAAAGATGTAAAAATAATGGGAGTGGTAGAGATTTTATCATAATAGAGGACAAATGGTGAGAGCAAGTAAAAATGGGAAAAGTCTAAAAAGTTAATATCATTAAATCACTCCAAATTACAACAATAATGATTAAAGAGCTATTACTAGGTATATTTCTATCATGCTTTAACTTAGAAAGTAAAATAGCTTGCAGAGTTCCCAAATAAACATAGGTGTCTGAGAATGGGAGAACATGTGCAAAAAGGAATGACTCACTTAACTGGCAGGAACATCAGATTGGACAGCTTTTAGGAAAGCTGAGTGGACAGTTAGTGGTGGAATTTGGGCAGTGATGGTGTAGTGCAACGTCCACACAGCACATAAAGCTGAACTTTCTTTTACCTTTGTTGCTTTGAGTTTCTTCTCGTACTGTAACTTCTGATCCTCCAGGTGTTCGACTTTGTCCTTGAGAATCCTGAGCTCCTTAAGCAAGCCCTGTAACAGAATGTGTGAGAAAATGAAAAAAAATTATTTTACTTTTAAAAAAGGATTTATTTATTTTTTTGTTTGTTTGTTTTTTTCACACAAGACACAGCACACTAAATGCAGCTCTTAACCGTGTCAGGCACTTATTAGTTTTGCTGGTTTTTCTATAGCAACATAAATGCTGTTGAGGATGTTTGGTGAGCGGTTTCATTTGCATCTAAACCTAAGGATCCCACACACCAGAGTAAGACAACGCATGCTGTACGCAACAACAGAAGTCATGCAAGTAAGCTATGCCTACACTTTCTCCTCCACAGTAGTACTTTTGCTCTGCATCTGAACTGCCCTCTTCCAGGGTAGTTGTGTTTCCATCGGCCCCGTTTGGAGCGTCCTCCAGTTTGTTCATTATCCCCGAGGTTTTGTCACATGGCACCCCCAGGTTTGAATCCTGGCTTTCAGAAGACTCAGCGGGGCACTCCACAGGAAGCCTGCTGTCATTTGGGATCTCCAGGGCCTTTTTCTCCTGGATCTTGCTATTGATTTCCTTCTGAAACTGATATATTTGCTCCTGCAGCTCACTAATGAAATTCACTACAGTCTGCCAGATGCAGTGGGAGAGAAAAAGATTGAGAGAAATGTTTAGAAAGAAAAGATGAAACATTGTGGGGCAGGTATCTGTCTGTCTGAGTGTGAATACAGTATATATTAGTAGAAATTAACCTTTTCAACATTTTTTGATGTATTTCAGGTACATATGTAGTCTTCAATAAATACATGTTTAAACCTTTGAAAAACATACGTCATTGGTTGGTTTCCCAGTGTCAGTCTCTTTTCAAACGGGCATTGCTAAGCAGCTATTTATGTTGATCATAACTATATCGCCATTTTCAAAAACAAAATTGTTATTTGCAATGATACATTTCAGTAGGGGTGAATAATTCAGAGGTGATGCCTGTCAGTGTTCCTTCAGAAAGCAGCCAAGCAGCCGAGTTATGCTGGGACTGTGGACAGAGGAAGTCTCATTTGAGGTCCAGTACAGCGGATATGACAGATGATCCAGAGCGCCTTGATGGCTAAATTTAACTGTGAGCTTGCTGGCTCTACAGCAAGGAGGCATGTGTAGAAGCATGAATATGTGTGGGCATGTTTGTGTAGTAGAGGCAGCACGTGGGAGACCATCAAAGTAAATTTATTTCTACTCTATTTATTCTAAGCAGCTGGGAAAGTTGGATTTAGAAAAGCAAGTGAGAATTAAAAACGTAACTGTAAATTAGTTAAAAACTGCAATCTACTAAAACACATAGTGCTTTACTGTGGGGTTTTTTCCTGCTTAGAAATAACAAACTTTACAAAATTCAAAAGTCTTCAAATGATCTTTTTTCCAATATGGGGAGAAGGACCTAATCAACCAGTAGACACCACTAAGAATAAAATTCTCTGGGCCGAAGCCTACACACACTCATATTTGGCCTGTCATCCACCATGCCTGAAGTCTTCTAACCTGAGGACACAAAGAGTCTTTGACCAGGAGTGTTTTGACAGTAACTACATACATTACAGTATCCTGTCTAGTAACACTCGTGCTTTCCCTGCTTTTTCTTTCTAAAGTCGACACTGAATGCTCAGAGGTCTATTGGTAACCTAACACAGTAGCCTTAAGCAAATACAGGATTCAGTTGAGACTGACAAAAAAACATTAAACTCCTTGGATACTTTTTTTTTTCCTGTAGACCTTTCCCAGGAACAACAGAGCTGGGCTTTGGTTAAATGTTTCCTTTCATCTGTCCAGAATGTGTTTACGGTCTTCCATAAAATCAGCAGCAGACTTCAAGGCTAGATCCATCAGAACACAAAGCAGATTTTTGTGTTTACCTTGTCATACCAGGAAGAGTTTAAATTTCCAGGGACTGAAGTAAAGTAGAAGCTGATGAAGATTTTAGATAATCTAATTACTCCTGTCCCCACCATTTACAAGGTGAAATGATTGATAGCCTACCAATTAAATTGAACAAGTGAATCAACTTTTGGTCGTGCTTAATATGGCTGCTTTTTGCTTTTGGGTATATATTATCCAAGAGAAAACGACAAAGTTTTACATTGCTGACTTAAAAAAGTACATTTAATTGGAGTGTAAATATCTGGTGATAGGAATTGTCCTGTTTAATTTAGTGAGAAGCCATACCTCTGCTTTGTGCTGCCTTTCACCCCCATGGCCCTGTTTTCCTTCCATGTCTGCCAGCTTTAGTTTCAGGTAGGACACCTCCCCCATAAGACTCAGCTTCTGGTTCTCCAGTGACGCCCTATGCAGGAGTTCCTGTCATCAACAACATTCAGCAAGAGCATGAAGCAACACAAACAGACATACACAAATACATTATCCCCTTAATACTTACTGAACAAAGCCAACATTAAGCATGAGACACAGCGAACTACCAGCTCTGTAATGACAGTCCCTTCTGGTTTTAGAAGCTGTTTGAGAGGCTAAATATACACAACCCATGACCACTATTTATAATGCCCATTTCACAGCTCACTCAAAACACACAGCACTGGTGGAGAGAGTGTGAGAGAGAGAGAGGTGGCAAAAGCATGCCAAACATCCTTGAACAACATCAAAATAACTTAATATCTTCATCAGGTGCTTTTGTCCTGTAAACAGCTGCCTATCAAACCCAGTGCTAAGAGAGGCTGCCACTAAATGGTTCTGCGAAAGTCTGTGCTGAATGGCTGACAGGCTTGAGAGTCAAGCCAGACTATGCGGGCAGATGTATAACTAATTTGGTTGATGTCAAGCAGGTGCTAAATCACTTAAAGCCTAGAAATAATCATCGGAGGCAGGCAAACTGTACGTATGGATACATCCATTTAAAAGGCTGACTTTGGAAAGTATCTGAAATTCTTCCAGAGTGCACATGGAAAATATTAGAGCTTTGTCACCAGAAAGAGATTTGCGGCTCAGGTCCAAAGCCTCATAATGACCATGTCTCCAAGAAACCATTCCCGGCTGCCCTTTGATACTCTGCACACTCGGGCAGCATGGCACAGACAAGTAGACATTGCAAATCAAATTCACAGCTAATCAGGTAGCTAAGAAACACTTCTGGCACTCTTGAAATTTGTCAGAACTGACTGAAACAGTAGAATGAAGCTTGCACTGCAATATAAGAATAAAACATACTACCTTGTTCATTTTCCAATGTCTGCATGAAGTAAAGGAAACCAAAGTGTATTTCTTTCATGGATGCTGTGGTTTCAGTAAATTTTCATACGTCTATTCCATTCAGCGTTCTCGCCACTGTTTAACAAAGTCCTTGAAAGTATACACACTTGTACACTTGTAACTCTTAAAGGAGCACCACCTCATTTTCTTTTTTCTCCAGCCCATCTCTCCACCTTTTTCAGCTGTTCCTCCTTCCTCATTTGTTCCTTTCTTCGTCCCTTCCACCCTCCCTCTGTTGTTTTCTCTCTCTCTCTCTCTTTCTCTCTCTCTCTCTCTCGTCTCCTCTACCTTTGTTTCTTACTCTTTTAATGCCTGTTTGCAAGCAGTTCTGGTGGTTATAGATTAGGGGTGTGGCTACTCATGCTATGATCACCTGCCCAGCCAGACTAGTCTGGCCCTGCATGAACCAGACAGACATTCTGAGACGCTGTCCTGGAATGAGTCTGAGTGTCCTAAATATTTTGGTTGCTGGGGTAATCTGCAGCCAGATGCACTGGAATCTGAGCAAGGAATTTCTTTCCATGATGCTGAACTCATCCCAAATAACATTCTGAAGTTTATGAGAAAAAATTAATTAAACGATAGAGGGACAGTCTGAGGCCCTGTCCCAGTTAATTATATAGGGGTAACAGTATTGAAATAATAACTTTTCATACCTTATTTTGTTCCAGCAATAAAAGTCAAGTATTGAGTACAGAGAAGGATTTGACAAAAATGAGCATGATTTAAGGCCAGTTGAATACCTGCTGTAACATTTCCTCTGTGGAGTTGAGTTTGTGCCGATGCTCCATCAAAGAACACTCTAAATCGCTGATCTTCACCCCCTGCGCTTCCACCTGGTCTGTCAGCACACTCACCTGTGTGTTTTTGTGAAGGTGGATGGAAAGATATTAGACATGAGGATGTGTTTTCTAAGCAAAGGCTGGAGAATAAAATGGTTTTAACATCGCTTAGATGCGAACTTTATCACACAAATACAGCCTGGGCCTAGCATTCTTCAGGATTCACATTTTCTCTTTTACTACAAAGTTTCTCACAGTGCACTATTTATTAATATCAGCTTTTCTCAGTTAATGACTGCTGCTCATTTTTGTTGACATTTCCACATCTGTGCCAGATCAAACTGTGTAAACATTTCCTTTTCAAAGAAATGAAGGTTTTTTTTGTGCTTGCCACACTTCAGTGACTCCAGCAATTTCAGCAGAAACCAGGTTAAATTTAAATCTGCAGAGAAACTATTAAGGCCACATAATAGCTACCGTAATCATATGCCAAAAAGCTGGCCCAACCAGCCAACTAGAACGGATTTTCCAAAGAAATGTTTCATGCGCGGGCTGAAGAAACAAACGGGGCATCTGACTTCTCTCACACACAGCTACAGCACACAAAGGTGCTAGCCTCAACCTGTCTAAGACACACTTGCCGAGCAGTCTTGAGTGCTAAACACACCTACACCTACACATACACTGACAAACAGATCACACAGAACAAGACATTCAAGTGTTGTAACAGCACCAAACCCACTTTGAAACTGTTACTTCACCCACAAGTTGAACAAAAACACAATTACGCAACATTTCCAACACAATACTGAGACCTACCTTTGTCCTTTCACCTTCCTTCTCTCACCTCTCTTCTCTAACACTGCTATCTGATACGAGCACTGATTAGATTTACTTCCTACTGAATGTGCGGTATCATGTGCCCATTTTCTTTTCTTTTTTTATGCAGAATCATACAGTGTGGAAGTGATTCAACTTTATTGTTAAATATGTTGCCAGTGCAACAACCTTTTCATAGGTCATATACATTTTATAAACAGAACCCAATGGAGATGTGTTCAAGATGCATGAAACAAGTGAAAAGCATCCAGAGAAATTTCTGTACCTGTAGAATTAGTGATTCTTTGTCTCCTTCCAGACGGGACAAACGCTCCTGGTAAGACTCACTGTTAGCGTTTGAATGGAGGTTTACCTTCAGAATACAGGGCAGCAGTTAGGCTCACTGGTTACACTGCTAAGTGAGAGTAGCAGCACAGTGGGTCAAATCTGTCTTCCAGCATACAACACAGCACACACACACACACACACACACACACACACACACACACACACACACACACACA